CGTGGGTTGATTAAAGCAACAGCCAAGCACACACAAACACACAGACACATGCCAAGCATGATCCACATTTATATTTTTTAAATTTACATAAAATCCTTAGATCATTTGCAAGCTTCAATGGCTTGATGTAAACTCTACACATCTCTGATCTTAGTGAGAATTTATTTGAAGAACTTTTTGCTCTCATAAAATAATTTAAAAAAGAAATCAGTAGTTTGTGTAGCTATAATAAAGTTTGTGTTGAGATTTGTACTTTTACTTAAAAAAATAACCAAAGAATGGACTGCATCAGGCTCTGCCGTGCTAGTTTAAAGATGTTCATGATGCTTCACAAAGTCTTCATAACAGTGACTCCCAACTCGAGGGACGAGTACACGCCACAGCCAATATAGTCAGAATGAGGCTGATTTTGCTGTTATAATGGCGAGCTCTTTTCCCTGTTGGACGACTGCCCGGCCTGACAGTCAAACGTCATTACGAGCCAGTGGCCTTGCAGTTTGTCACTGTCACGCACGTCTAAATGGAGACTTTGTTTTTTGAGATTTGTAAAGATTTATGACATTCTGGGCACTATTTAAGCAGCGATGCACAACAGAGTCATTTTGTCTGATGCAAAGCCACTTTGAAAAATGGCAGATTCAGCTGGTTGTGGGGGTTAGCAATTTCCTCTGAGCCAAAAAATGGTGTCTATGAAACGAGACGCTGTATTAGATCCTTTCCTTTTATCATTCTGTGGATTTGACGAACCACAGATCGAGCATGAAATGTTTGCTCATTTCAGAAATGAATGGGGACATTCTCGTCATCGCTGCTGCGTCCACTTTTGAACTCTATTTGCCAGAAATCATTTGCAAATTTCTGAGAATATTGGGGACTAACAATCCTTGCTAAATTTTTAAATACACTAGCATTCCTTGAAGCAAGGATATCACTTGCTGCCTTTCACACCAGAGTTTGAAACTAAGATCATCTTGAGCTGAAAAATAATGATTAGCTTTTTTTTGTAAAACCCCAAAAACGATGCTATGCAGAATCGTACATACAAGATCTTCTCACACAATCTATTAGCACTCAGGACATATGTTGTGAATAACTCTCAGCTACAACCACAACAAGTCTGAGCTCAACATCTGTCAAACTGACCGACTTTTAGCCATTTTTTGGTTGACAAAGATTTATTAGTTTTGGCAGATACAACAGCTTATTTTATTTGACTTCAGAACTTAAGCAGTCGTGGATGTATGTCCAATAATCACTTTGTGAGAGTTTAATAATAATAAAAGCCATCCAGTTGTCCATGAGATATTTTGCTAACAGAAAAACAGGGTTAATGGCACATCTTGTATAACTAAAGGTTGAATGAATGAATGAATATTTTTAAGCAAAGCTGTCATACAATATGTATTGCTCAAAGTATGTGTCATATGATTCCCAGCTGCTACTCCACCAAATGTAAGGTCAATATCTATGGTATTCACTGAGTTATAGCTACAGTATATTTGTATTGATTATTTAGCTTTGGCAGCCATATTAAATGAGGTAATGTTTCAGAAGTTAACCAGTTGCAGATGTACATCTATTATTTACTTTCTGAGAGTTTCGTTAAACTCCATCTTGTGGTTCAGGTGATATTTTACTAACAGACAGACAGTTGACTCTAATAGTTAATGACAAAGATTTAAAACAAAAATCTCACTCAGTGTGTAGCGCTCTAAGTGTGTGTCAGAGATGACTCTCAGCTATGACTGCACCAACCTGTAATTTAATATCTTTAAAATAGACTGAATTATAACGACTTTTGTATTTGCAAAATTTAATTAGATGCAGCAGCCATTTTGAATTGTTGACCCTAAAAGTTAGTCAACTGTACATGTACATCAAATAATGACTTTCTGAAAGTTTTAATTCAAATCTGTTGAGTAGATCATGAGATAAGTGAGATAAGTAATAATACATGCAAGCACAGAGATAGGCAATAACATTACTACTACTACTACTACTACTACTACTACTACTACTACTACTACTACTACTACTACTACTACTACTACTACTACTCTATTACTCCTATTACCCTATTACTACTATTACGTCTATTACTGCTACTACAAATACTACTACTAGATAAGATAAGATAAGATAAGATAAGATAAGACAAGACAAGACATGATAAGATAAGATACAATAAGATTAGAATTTGATTGATCCCACAGAAAATTGTTGTGTCAGAGTTTCTGTACAAAGAAACATACACAAGGAATCTCACATATAAAAACAAACAAACAAAAAAAAAAAAACAGAGAATATAAAAATACCAGCAATTAAGTTCTAAACAGGTGCAGACAGAAACATTAAAGTGTTTATTGTGGTGCAGGATTATTTATTATTGTCCTGTGTGTAGAAAGGGGGAGGAGTTGAAAAGTTTGATAGCCACAGGGAGGAAGGACTTCCTGTGCTGTTCTGTGGAGCACCTCGATGGTCAGTCTACGACTGAAGGTGCTGCAGTAAGAGTCCAGTGTGTCATGCAGGGGGTGTGACGTGTTGTTCAGGATCTGGAGCAGTTTCCTCAGCATCCTCTGCTCAGACACCTCTGTCACAGACTGCAGGTCCACTCCCAGAACTGAACCAGCTCTTTTGATGAGTTTATTGAGTCTGTTGGCATCAGCTTTCTTCACCCTGCTGCCCCAGCACACCACAGCGTAGAAGAAGATGCTGGAGACCACCGAGTGGTAAAACATCTGCAGCATGGTCCTGCAGATGTTATAGGACCTGAGTCTCCTCAGAAGAAAAAGAAAACTCTGCTCTTTCTTGTAGAGGGCGGTGGTTGGTTACTACTACTATTATACCATACCATACCATTTTATTTATAGAGCTCTTAAAACAGCTACAAGGCCAACCAAAGTGCTGTACAGACAGAACAACAGACAACACACGAAGCAATATACAAAATGAAGTAAATCATAATTATAGACATAAAAAAGATGCAGATAATAAATATGACGACAAACCAGTCTGGAGCGTACAGGTTCACAACACAGATCATCTGGCCGATGAAAGCTACTGAATAGTAGTGAGTTTTTAAACGGGATTATTACTATTACTATTACTACTACAACAACTACTACTACTATAATACTACTACTACTATTCCTACTACTACTTTTACTACTACAACAACTACAACTACTACTACTATTACTGCTAATAATGATAATAATATCCTGATGCATGCTCAATAATCCAGGTAGAAAAATCCAAAAAAAGTTCAATCTGGTCCTCTGGACATTCAAAAAAACAAAAACAAAAAAATGTAGAAACGTTTCGTCTCTCATCCGAGAGACTTCCTCAGTGCACCTCAGACTGATGAAGTCTCTCGGATGAGAGACAAAACATTTCTACATTTTTTTGCTTTGTTTTGTTTTTTGTTTTTTTGAATGTCCAGAGGACCAGATTGAACTTTTTTAGAATAATAATAATAACAATAATAATAATAATAATAATAATAATAATAATAATAATAATAATAATAATAGGGCAGCGCAGTGGCACAACTGATAGAGCTCAGCGAGAAGATTGCCGGTTCAAATCCCGGTCCGGGGGTCTTTTAGGGTTGAGTTTGCATGTTCTCTCCGTGCATGCGTGGGTTTTCTTTGGGTACCACAGACCAAAAACATGCATGTTAGACTGATTGGTAACTCTAAATTGTCCCTAGGTGTGAGTGAGAGAGTGAATGGTCGTTTGTCTCTATGTGTCTCTGTGATGGACTTGCAACCTGTCCAGGGTGTCCCCTGCCCCTCGCACAGTATTTGCTGGACATGGGCACCGGCGACCCCCGTGACCCAAAATGGAAAAAGCGGGTAAAAGATAATGGATGGATGGATAGTAATAATAATAATATTGATGTTATTTTTCTGATGTGTTGTTTTTCTAAATGCAGTTATCATTTCTTTCTAACTCCTTCCTTGATGTGTTGCAGCCTCCTCTCTCCGACACCTGAATACTGAGCAGAGCTGTAAAGACTCCCCCTATAAAAGAGATAGTAATCACATAAGAAGGATATAATGAATCACAGAAATTGTTCCACAGAAAGTGGAAACCCTCTGCAGCACAGCCACGTGAAACTCTGAGAAATATCACAGCGCAGGTCACGTGGGGTCACTATTATCGCCCATGCTGAGCACCACTGATGCATCCCCACCCCCAGCAGGAAAATTACAACACCGTGGCGCTCCTCTGTGGGGTAACATTTATTATTGTATGTGTGTGAGAGAAAGAGAGAGTGTGTGTGATAGAGAGAGGACATGTGCGAGAGCGCCCTCTGCTGGCCCTCTTTATAAAAGCGCAGTCGGTGCGCGTGCAGTCAGTGAAAAAGGAGCGTTCACGCTTCCTCCAGAGGAGCGCAGCGCAGCAGTGGCCCCCGGGGGGAGGAAAAGAGAGGAAAAACACCAAAACAATCCAGTCAGCGCCTTGTAGCACTTTGAAACGACTTCTGTCACCTCCTGAAACATGTTGGCATGATTTAGTTGAAGTGTGCACGGGGCGGAGGAGACATGCGGACACGTCAAGTCTCAGGAGTTTGTTGGTATGAAGGCAGCGCAGACGGACCCTGACAAACTGCTTTCATGGATTGACTGACTGGGCTCATTTGCTTCCCCCCCCCTTTCCCCCACCCTGCAAAATGCCAGTGGATTTTTTAGTGCAGCAGTCCTAAAAAGGAGTGTGGATTGTATCATTTTTAATCTCAAAGAGCGTCGTGGATTATTTTCAGGTTTTTCTTCTTCTTTTTTTTTTTTTTTTTTGTCTGTTGAGGAGCGCGTGTTATTTCCTGTGGCTTAAATGAGGATATTGATTTGGCACTGTTAAGACTTGTTCAAGAATCCGGAGAAAAAAGGTGGTGGTGGTGGGGGGATTAGTCTTTTTTTTTTTTTTTTTTTGTAAGAGGTGGAGAATCTGAGTGTAATTACTGGACCCCGACTCATCTGTGCTCCTCTGAGTCCAATATGAAGTGTGACACAGTGTGGATGTGCGTTTTTCTCCTGCTCCTAGGTAAGAAACGACAAGAAGATGTGCACAAAATCTCCTCACGACATCTGAAGTTGTAAAAAAAAAAAGCATGTCGGGCATGTGGTCACTTCGAGAGCCTGATATTAATTTGTGTTCTGTGAGCAATATTTTGCATTAATTTGTAATCTGATTCAACAAGATGAGGATTTATGCCAAATATGACTACAAAGCAAACTTATAAGCAGCTTGATTTAAGTGATCTAGATCAGTTTGTAAGTATCTTGCTTTTAGATATGCTTTTAGCTTGACTATGACAGAGTCCATCAGATCTACAATGAGCACAATAATCCCTGACAGCATCAGTGATCAAGTTGCAGCAATCTGACAGTCATTTTTCTCCTAACTTTGTGTGGCCGAGATTTTGGCAACGTGCCAGTCAACACTGTCCAGTTCAGTTCTCCAAACCATCACCAGGGGTCTCTCTTGTCATTTCACCCAAACTGCCTTGTGCTTTACCTGGATAGGTGGTTTGTTACTCTTTTCAAGAGGCAAAACAGGAGCCTCTCTGCTCTGTGAACCTCTGTGAACTCATTTAATCCCAATCCCGGTTGAAAATGGGTCTAATAATGCAGTTGATTCGATTTAATCTGATTAGATGTAAAGTTTCAGAGCACTTTTTCTTTGAGTTAGAAGCTGTTTAGTTTCTTTAGCTCTACTGAGTGCAATGTGAGCAGAAACATTTTTGGATAAAAATGTAAAAAATAATCCCATTTGAAGAGATGACAGACTAATCGAGCTTGTTGATTTGGCATATGTGGACAAGACAAAGGTTGTAAAATTTGTTGGTCGCGTACAAGTTCATCATTCACACACTAAAGCACACATGCTGAGGAGGCCTGAGACTTTTATTCTGACATTTAATCCCAATCTATCTCCTTGTCCCAGATGAAGCAAGCTCCTGGGATGACCCCTCAGTTCTGTTCATGGGCCTGGGCGAGGCTCCGGGATCTCAAAACGCCGGGTCTAGAACCGATGATCAGCCAGAGAGGGTGGACTGCATCCAGGCGACTGAGATGTGCAACCAGAACCCTTCCTGCAGCTCTCGGTACCGAGTGATGCGCCAGTGCCTCGTGGGCAAGGAGAAGGAAGCCATGCTGGATAACAACAGAGACTGCCAGGCGGCCTTGGAAGTGCTGCTGGGGAGCCCTCTGTACGACTGCCGCTGCAAGAGGAGCATGAAGAACGAGCTGCAGTGCCTACAGAACTACTGGGCCATCCACATGGGACTCAACGAAGGTAGGAAGCAGATGGTTTCACAGTCTCAGAAAACAAAAGATCATTGCATCAGTAATCCCTCTTACAGTCATGCAGATCCTTTGTGGAACGTCCACACAGCTCAAATTAAGTCTCACTTTGTTCATCTTCTGGCTGTAAGCTCGTTATGAACAACCTGCGTCCTCCGTGTCGCTCGGCTGCGGCTTTGAATTCACTTCCCATCATCATCAGTGATGGAAGAGCCGAACGCACTGCAGAGCTGTGAATCAGCCTGGTGGTCTGCACGTGCAGACCACCAGGCTGATTCACAGGCTGATTCCAGGTACACCCTGGACAGGCTGTTGCAATAAATGTTCTGCAGCTATACAAAGGTGAAACACGTGCAAGTCTGGAAACAGTTTTCGGCTCTTCCGTTATCACTGTGGTTTTTGAGCAAAGCCGAAAATGCACTGCTCATGTCCTCTGATACCCTAAAGCCCCCAATAAAAAAAAAAAATAATGTTTTGCTATTTTCCACAGCCTCAGATACATAATGGGAATGTAATGGGATTACATCAGGTGGACCTGTTATAATAGACTTATTGGTTTTCACCTAAAGTGTTCCATTTTACCATAATTGGGTTACAGCCGTGCAGCACGAGTGGTCCTTAGGTTTCCACTTACCCAGGACATAAAGCTGTACTCTTGTTCAAACATTGGAGCATCCTATTTGTCTGGACGGACACCAAAAGGTGATGGCAGATGATGCTGATGTGTTTGTCTGTGTGTAGATTCATGTCTGTTAGCAAAACAGCTCACAAACTGTATGAATTTAACTGAAACTTGCAGAAAGTTATCCATCCATCCATCCATCCATCCATTATCTTTACCCGCTTCTTCCTTTTCGGGTCATGGGTGTCACTGGTGCCCATATCCAGCAGAGGCGGGGGACACCCTGGACAGGTCTCCAGTCATCACATGGACACAAAGAGACAAACGAGACAAACAACCAGTCACTCTCTCCAGAAAATGATCACTGGGTGAAATTTGATGAAGTTTTACTCAGCTTGATCCAAGATGGCTGGCTCAACTAATCAACAGAAGCCAACACAATAGTAGCAATGACTCAGTCAGTTTTACAGCTACTGAGCTAAAGTTTGACGTAAAAGTAGCTGAGAGTCATCTGCAACATACTCTGTTGGCACTCTATGATTTTGCATGAGATTGTGTGGTAATCCTGTGGCAGCAGGTGATGATGTGTATCTTTATGCAGACTAATTTGAGTGAATCAGAACTACTGGGGAGTCTGCACCTAAAGGAAAGCCCTCACTGAAGACGGATAATTTGCGGTGCTCGTGTGCGTGTCGTCAGTGAACGATATCAAGTGCGGCTGTGTCAGTTTGGATGACATAATCAACTCAGCTGTTTTGACACGAGTGATAATGGTGGACGCGTTGCAGAGCATCGGATCGCTCTGGACTTGTGTGCGGCGATCCGTGAAATGATTCACCAGGCTGATTGCTCATAGCACCAGCTGCACTTCGATAGGCCGAGGACAGCAGAGGGTCCCTGACATGAGCGCGGGGGGAAAGACACGTGGGCTCTCAAGGCGTTCTGTCTCTCTGCTTATCTTTCCTCACATTTCTAACTCCTCACCCTCCTCTTATTTCTCCAACATCAGCAGCGGCAGTCAAAGTTTTTGCGCTTGAATGCATCACGGAAGTTGTTGGACTGTCATGTTCAGAGGGCTAACATTAAGGCCTTCATATGTTCCTTTTTCCCCCAAAAATAAATAAATAAATAAAAAGTCCTCTGCGCTGTGCCCCGATTTGGCCCTGTCAACCTTGGAGATAAAACCCACTTTAACAGAAACGAAAAGCTCTTACAGAGCAGCTTTAATCTAATCACGATCCATTGTGCAGTCAAGCAGGCTTTTGTTAACTGGAAACAGTGAACAACATCCATCTCTGGAAACAAACAGAAAAGGCTGAATCCCAGCAGACCCCATGGAAATGGTGCTAAACCACTTTAAAATCCTTTAGACAAAACAGAAAGGGTCTAATTGAATTGGTATGTCAGATATGTTAAAATGCGGTTTTCCAAGTTTTATTGCGAGCTAAGGTGGAAAGATGAGGGATGAAAGAGCATGTGAGAAAGAAACATGAAGACGAAGAGGAAGTGGAGACCGGAAGGACACTAGATCTAAAACAAGCATGTCCTGTAAATGAGGCAGATAAAAGGAGATTAGGGGCTGTTGTAATTTTTATTGATAAGATAAGATTTGCACTAAAGCAATTAAATACAATGGCATTTTCCAAATTTTGATACTGGGCAGAAAAAAAAAAAAAAAACGGAAAGAAATTTAAATTATGGTCAAGAGGTGTCATATTTGTCATTGCCCACGTCGTCTTTTGAGCGAGGGACACTGAAAGTAAGTCAGCAGCATGATGACATCAGAAAAATGAAGGCAAACGTCAGAAAACTAAATCTTTTTTCACGTCTGACCTGGTGACATGAGCAGAAGTGAACAGTTTGTACACCAGGACCTCAGATCTGTTTTCTGTTTGTAGACATAAATCAGCTGTTTGCCATAACCAAACAAAGACTTTTGGCATTAAACCTCTGACAGGTTGAAATGAGCAGGCAGAAGAAAACACAGCTAAAGTGAACAAAAATAAATAAATCAATTTTTCACACTGCCTTAAATCCAAAAGTTAATCAGTTGCAGATGTACATTCATTGATTACATTCTGAGAGTTTCTTTAAATCCAGTGCTTTGGGAGTTTTGTAGTGGTTCATCAGATATTTGGTGCTCTCTGTGTTTCTGCTACATGTTTTTTCTTGGTAAATTGTTTTTATTTTTTTCATTGCCACTAATTCCCTTATTTTCAACTATCGCATAAACTCATGCATGGATTTTAATGAGATTCCCAGAAGGTAATTATTGGATGAACAACTGATTAACTATTGATGTTAAACCAAATAATGATGGGCGCTTCAGCTAATTGACCTTAGCAAACACTAAAATGACTACAGCACAGTCAAGATGTGCAATCATTGAGCTAAAGTTTAGTTAGTGTGGTGATGGCTGAGCATAATCTCCAACTTAATACTACGAGAAGTACACCTTTTCTAATATTCTTTACATAAAACACCGGTGATAACTGTTGGCTTCAACCCTTTTTGTCTGTTAGCAAAATATTTTGAAACGTAATCATTGAATGTGCCTCTAAAATGTATTTACTTTCAGTCACCCAATGCAAGCAATCTTTTCATGTCACCTGCTTGATTTCTCCCTTTGGATCCTCCTCCTCACCAGCTCTCACATGATATTTAGCTAACAATCATACATGTTTGACTCCAACAATTAATGCCAAAGTGTTAAACTTAGGTCTCATGATTATGTGTTGCAAATAACTCTCATCACTGAGTTTCAGCTGATTATCTGCAGAACTGACTGAGTTTTAGTCATCTACGTGTTTCTATGGTCAGCTGCTCATGACGACCATCCTCAACCAGGTTAGCTCCACTAGTTACTCAGTCCTAGATGTATATCCAGTAATTATTTTGTAAACTTCATTCTAATCCATCCACTAGTTAATCAGATCAATATAATACAAAGACGCACACAGGTGGTTAATATGACTGCCCACCTTTGACGGCATCAGGTGATAATAAATAATTCAAGCAGTAATTTAACTGTTATCACAAAATGAGGGAAAAACAAATACTTCAAACTTGAAGTGTTGCCAACTTGGTGATTTAATTACCTTAAAGATCCCACAACAACATATTTTCAATGAATAATTAGTAAAAAAAAAAAAAATCAAACATTTATTAGGACGCATATATCAACACTAGCTAACGACATACAAAAAGGAGGCAAATGAAGACAATCTACTAAAACCACAATTGTTAATAATCTCAGTTCAACTAAACCCAAGAGTATAATCATGATATATATATATATATATATATATATATATATATATATATATCCATTATCTTTACCCGCTTATTCCATTTTGGGTCACGGGGGTCGCTGGTGCCCATGTCCAGCAATCACTTTGCGAGGGGCGGGGTACACCCTGGACGGGTCGTAAGTCCATCACAGGGACACATAGAGACAAACAACCATTCACTCTCTCATTCACACCTAGGGACAATTTAGAGTTACCAATCAGCCTAACATGCATGTTTTTGGTCTGTGGGAGGAAACTGGAGCACCCGGAGAAAACCCACACATGCACGGAGAGAACATGCAAACTCCACCCAGAAAGGCACCCGGACCGGGGTCAACCATAACCATTTAACATTAAAACATTTAATAAACATAAGCATAAAATGAAATAACAAAAGTATGATACTGTCTTAAATTGTACTATGGAGGTATAAAATTGTTTTATTAAGTATATCTATAAATTAAAATTAAATGAAGGTCCTGACATTGACATTTGTAGTAAGTGGCAAAGTAGCATATGAAGTGAATGTACACAGTGTATGTATGAAGTCCTTGATATTGGTATAGGTAAAGTGACATATGCAATAAGGCTAGGAAAAAAACGTATATCAACAGTAGTGTAATATAAGCAGCAGTGTGAATATAAACATTTGTTATTTAACTACTTTTCAAAGACCAATGATGTTTTTATAGCTTTATTGTCATTTCTGTATTTTTTTCTCTACCATAGTGTAGAAATGTGTCTTAAAATCATAAAGAATACTCTTATCACTTTTTTAAAATAAAAATCAGTAGTTAATGTATGTCACTGAAATTTCAGACTAAAAGGATGATCGTGTTCAGAACTTAAAGAAAAGTTCAAGTGGGGGCTGGGAGTGCCTGTAATTCAACAATCAGGGCACACTTGTCCAAATCAATATTTTCAAATTAACTTCTTCACCAGGGCGGCACGGTGGATCAGTTGGTAGGGCTGTTGCCTCTCAGTGAGAAGGTCGACAAATCAAATCCTGGCCTGAGCCTTTTCTGGGTGGAGAGTGCATGTTCTCTCCGTGCATGTGTGGGTTTCCTCCAGGTGCTCCGG